AGAGAGTTTTTAATTTGTCGCCGGCGCGGTGTTTACTAGTCTCCTGTAGTCAGACTCCACAAGTTTTATGATAGTTGATAACACTTTTATATGGACTCTGATTTCGTTGGCATACAGTATGCGGAGCTTTAGATTAATGATTCTCGCAGCCCGGATGATTATTCACACTATGCCGGATATGTACACTAATCTTGCATCATGCATGTAATTGGACGCAGCCCAATTTTTGCAATCAAAGCTGTTTAAACAGTGCCATCCTCATATGATGGTCCACGGCAAGCTCTAAATAAGACAGACCTTTGTGACGTGAGTTCTGGCGAACTTCTTTTCCAGCAGTGAGCACTGATGGCTTTTTGCTTCAGGTACTACACACATCTGCGATATTGGCCCAAATTTCTAGCAAGAGTAATTTCGTGGCTAATTCTCCATATCATCATTTATCAACATGCAAATCCTATTATAGGTCACTTCTTATATGTTTACCTGGTGTACCGCAAAATTTGCACCTGAAATCAATCTCACTCTGAGTGGAAGCCCCATTTCATTTCGATGTCTATCAGTAGCTACTGGGACCCCAGAGGATGAAAGCAATTTTTGCCTCCTAAGACTTATAACTGATCTCTATTACACCTGCAGACCTCTGCAGTCCCAAAGTTCGGATGCAGTGCTGTGGTTGTTGAGTGCATTAACTTCGGGAATTAGAATCCCTGCCAGAGCGAAGCAACGGCATGTCTTATTTACCAGTCTCCTACCCACCCTCACGTTACGGGGTTGGCACGATTCTAGCCTTATCTCAATAGTAATACGAACAGACAAATCCATCAATGGCCCATCAGCACATCAATTCTAGACCCAATTTCAACTCCGAACCCTTATTTTTGCCAACCCCTCCACGGAGGCTGGGATCAACTCTGGGATTGGTGAATGGTTGGTGCAAAAATCAGAGTCTGGCCGAACCGCAAATCCTTAGATGTGAGATTTGTCTGATGAAACATGGAGGTACAAACTAGGATGCTTAGAATTAACCCTATTACTTACAGTCTATTACAGGTCCTTGAGACAGCCAAATCAATTAATTCACTTTTAAGTACCCCCATGCTCAAATCCCATTGATTCCTGGTACCGACTTAGGTTCCAGGTCTGAGGTCTCAGAACGATAATACAATTCCGCGATCACCTCCGATCACCCCGGTACAGCACGGCCCGCCATAAATAACTAAATAAATAGGGTGAATTTAGGGGCAAAAGCCTCCCAATCCACCATTCAGTGGTGTAAAATTCATTATTGTGAGCGGAAAAATGTCAAAGCCCCTTGGTCGCAGTTCCCACTCTGTTCCCATCCCACAGTGTCAACTTTGTGTGTATGAAGATTAAATCGTCCCAAGAACGAACTTTGAGCGGTCTATCTAGTGAATGACTTTCATTACCACCTTTGAAACTCAATATCTAAGCCTGTCCGTCAATTCTCACATAAATCCATCCAGAATACTGTACAGGCGTGAACGTAGGCAACGTAACGCATAACGGCACCCTCAAAATCGTTGCCTAAATCACCAACATAACGCTCAAAAATCAGATTTGGAGCCTATTTTAGGCAATTTTTCGGCCCTGCGGGGCAAAATTTGCCTTATTTGGCAGGTATCTTTCCAAATAAGGTAACCCGTTGCTAACTCCAGACCTGTGGCTGTGCGTAACGCACCTTGGGCGGTTGCCTATGTTCACGCCTGTACAGTATAGCATCAGGCCACGCGAGGGAGGCGAGTCGGCCGAGACTTGCGAGCGGGCCACTTCTGAATCCATTTACTTGGTTCTAGTATATGAAGCCAGGTCCAGAATGAGGTACCAGGGGGTGCCCGGAGGGCCTTTGTATAACATGTTATATCAGTGAATTAGGAGAATAACTGTGTGGCCAATGATATAATGGAAAAGGGGGTGTCTCAAGGAATGATCTAATGAAACATTGCCAAACATGGGTGAAACAATTTCGATTTTCACAGAGGGTACTAGAGGCAAAACTTGGGGTGGGAATCACTTGGAGGATGTATTAGAAGGTTATGAACACACTAGACATGCCTACGCTGCGCTTCGGCAACAAAACAGAATCCAGATTTTATTGTTGAGCAGTACAGAAATTCGGAAGAGGGGTTATATGCAACAGCGTCCTCCCACAGTTCAGAGAGCCAACGAAAACATTCAGCTGCAAATCGGTGTTGGCAATCAAGGAGCAGTTGATCTGTGGCTGAACAACCAGCCTTTGTGCACAAAGAAAATAAAGGCAATGATTCCTTTATTTCCTTTGTGCACACTGGGTTGATCACACCTGCGACAGACATGCATCAGACACACCTGGAATCCATGTGCAATAAACATGCTGATTTCTGCCCGTGGCAGCTTTAGCAAGTGATTACAGTCTATTACCGGTCTCTGAGACACTACGGGTCTTTGAAACATCTCTGTTTTCCTTCAAATTTTCGGTTGTTACTATTCCACATTATCTGATTCTTTAATGAAATGGACGGCTTTCATTGGGGACTGTTTGGTTTCATCCCCATGAATATTATCCCCTTCTTTGCAACTCTCACTTTACTCTTCATCCGTGATGTCAAAAGACCCATGGTGTAACTAAAATTCCAACACACAGCTTCGAATCACCCCCAAATAGGCCTGGTGCTTGCAGCATCCCCGCCGTTCCTGTTGCTTCTTGGGAAAGACAGAGCAAATCTTGTGATTCAATAGCAGTTGATTGAAGGCATCAAAACTTTCCGGAATGTCCATGAATTCCACACTGTGCCGCAGCGCACCGACTGTAAACAGTGCTGATGAGTCCTGTGATTCAACAGCAGTCAATGGAGCCTTTGTATCAAAATTTCCCGGGATGTCCAGGAATTCCACATTGTGCTGCAGTACAATAGGCTGTTCAACTGCGGCAATGCAGTACTATTACAAGTATATGAAGAGGCAATCCTTTCCTTCAGAATTGTTGTGGGCTTTCACCTCCTTGCTCCTTTTCCCTTGCCTGTTCAAATCATCGCGATGTTGCCCATCCATATATTATTTCTGGAGTCCTCAAAATAGTTACTGACCAACACCTCGATCCCTTCAACCTGTGGTTTCATACTGTGAGGTGCGAAGGAAATGCGTGCGTCAGACGCACCTGGATCCCAGGTGTGTCGGGTTTTGCCCCCAGTGTAAGTTGGGAAGTTGACTGAATGTTCTGACTTGATTCAATGTACAGTACTATCCCAAGTATGCATGTGCAGGCACCACTCCACTGCCCCAAGCCTAGCAAAAGCTCCACCATTCTGCATACAAGACAACCATCACAACACATTTCACCCTGAGCCCTCATCTGCTCTCCCCTCCAACACCACAAACCCAATGGCTTACTGCAACATAAATCTTTACTGGAGGAATATGCTGCTCTATGACATCCTGCAACCCGCACATCCTGGGTTATACCATGTTGCCGAAATTTCACAATTGGTTCAGATCTGTCTTCAGTAGCTGCAAGGGGATCTTGTACCGTCTTTTCTGCAAATTTCGCAGAGATACACAGTGAACTGACAAATATTGGCTTGTACGGGAATGAAAATACGAGATCGTACTACCGCTTAGTCCAGTGATTTCGAAGCGAGGTCAAAATATTTTCTGTGTGAATTCCTGGACAGTCTTATATATATATATCCAACCTGGCCATGATCCAACATTCACTCAAGGATGTATGTATCTGCATGGGAACTTGAGCTTGCAAGGTGGTCGATGGTCACATTGGGTTACAGTAGACAAAAATTTCATTTGATTTGCCTTTGAGACTAAGTACACCAATTATCCAACGAGCCAACCATGGCAAGTTCTGCAGAAGATACTAATTCAAGTATTTAGAAACAGCGAGTTCTGTGCAATAGGCTCTGCTCTTGACCGAGCATAGACACCGGTTGGTTTCAAGCCAGGTCCGTTTCCGGTGCACATAAATTAAGCGGTGAGTCGCTTCCCAGGCCGAATAAACATCGGGAGAAAATATCGACCGTGTAGAATAAGTGGAGAAGCCTGGTGCAGAACATGAATTGCTTTGGCACGATGATCTGGCGGTTCGGTCTGCGACAGCAGCTGCTGCAGGACACAAGACACAAGAAACAAGCTCAGACCTTACGAGGGAAGGTTGCAGAAGGGGAAAGGTGCTTGGAGGCTGATCCAGATTGTGGTATGAGTCTCCGAATTGGTAATATCATCGCTTATTGGCCAGATCTAGCATACACAAGTACTAGATAAGGCACTCAATGTCGAATATGATGTTAATGAACCCACAGATGTCGGGACAGATGTTGGAGAGTTATTGTGGTTAGATGCTCAGAGATGTTGCTCAATATCACCATGTAGCTAGGACATTTGTGTAATTATTAAATGTGCACTGAGTCAACTGAAGGTTAACAAAGAGTGGTGTTACAGTATGTATGTTGTTTGAATGTCCAAATCAAGCTGATTAATTATTTAAAAAAAAAATCATCTGTGGCGAAGCAGGGTAACTGCTAGTCACCTAGGTATCTCGGCAGGGTGATCTACCACTGATCTATGAGGGGCCTTCAGATAGAAGTGGATATCTTCAGACAGAAAAGGCACCTCTATTGGTATGGCGTGAACCTGGATTTGATTCATAGGGCCTGAATATCAGACAAGACACGGGTGTATTTTGCGAGCCAAAAATGGAGAGGGGAAAAAGTACAGTTAAATATGCATGCCCTCGGTGGGGATCAAACCCACGCCTCCCTGGTGGTGATTTCGTTATGATGTTGTAACTCTTGAGATCAGTCGTAGATCGCCCTGCCAAGCTTGATGGGCTGGATGTCAGCTTAAATTTAAATCGGTGTTTGAGATGCTAAGCAGAGTGCATGTATGCAGGGTTAAATTGTCAGACAGGACTGAGAGAATTAATCGCTGTAAGTATGTAGTGATACACGATAAAGCCCACAAAAAAAGGGTAAAAAAAGATATCGTCATTTTCATGCCCTCGGTGGGGTTCGAACCCACGTCCCCACTACATACCCATTATCCGGATCCGAAGCATTGAGCGGTGGTGATCTGCCACTGATCTACAAGAGCTGCTCTTCTGGTGCTGAGATGTAGTCTATGCCACACAAGCGAGAGGACAGATGACGGACTTGCGACACACAGGGTGATCGGAGTCATCGGACTTGGCAAGAAGTCACTTATTATACAGGCCGGGGACTATTACAGACTAATCTTACCTCACTGGCACGCTGTTCGGGTGCGGCGCGCGGTATAAGGGTACAAGGGTTCCGCTACGTGCTCTCTCCTCTCCCTCTGAAAGCGGACTCATCTACCCCTGTCCCCTTTACCGAGTCTCCTTGGCAGCCATCTGCTGATCAGGTGGAACAAAGGACATATCGATCAGTGACACTGCCGTCACACGTCACAGTGTTTGCTGTTTCTCTCCTTCCACCTCCACCGTCGTCCGACGCCCACGCTCCTTCACAAAACAGATTCCTCAGAATCTCAACGAATCCACAAGAATGGGATTCGAGCACTTTCGGCTCAGCAAAGCCGGCGCCCCCTTCCGCCATGCCAAACCGGCCACTTCCAAGGCTAGACGGGCGGATGCGCCTGATCCCAGTATGTCTTTCTTTTACCTTCAAGTAGGAGACGAAAAGCTCATGAAGAATAGGCTGCGCAACGGGTGGGTTCTACACAGCGCCTACGCTCGCTTCCAGCCACGACGCTCTGTCGCCCCTGACCATCTCCTGGGCGCCGTCCCTCTCCTGCCTCCTCCCCGCCCCCTCCGCCGTCGACATCTACCTGTACGCCCCCGGCCTAGCCACCCCGCGCCTGCACGTCTGGACCGGCGTGCCCTACGCCGCGGGCTCGTACGACGCCTCCATCCTCCCGCGGTGGTACAACTCGACCCCCTCTGCGTCGCTGCAGCTCATGGTCGTCCCCGCCTCCACGCCCCCCTTCCTGTCCACCATCCCCGCCGGCCCCGTCTTCACCGCCACCTGGAGCGCCAACAGCTCCACTACGCCCGCTGCGGCCGACACCAGCCTCAGCGGCAGCGACACGGGCACCACCGCCGTCACCGGCGCCATGTCGGGTGTGTCGACGCACAAGCTCAGCGCGGGCAAGACCGCCGCCGCCGTCCTCCTCCCCCTGCTGTTCGTCATCCTCCTCGGCCTCGCGTACCTCAAGATCTCGCGCGCACGCGGCGCGGCGAAGCGCAGCGCGTGGAGCGAGAAGCTCGACAAGCGCATGAGCACCATCTCGCAGGACTGGAAGGCCATCACCCCCGGCGGCGCAAAGGAGGCCGTCCGCCAGTCGATGGCGGCGAACCGCTCTTCCTCCTTTTCGTTCGGCGCCATCAACGCCGGGAACGTCGAGGGCGAGCCTGTCGTCATGGGCGAGAAGACGCGCGGCGGGAGCATCGACATCAGCGAGAAGGACTTGCCGCGGACGTCCCTCGGATCGGGCGTCGGCGTCGGCGTCGGCGCGCGCAGGCCGAGGAACCATGCGCAGGCACCCGAGCGGGGGAGCAGGGCCGTCAGTTTCGCGGACGCGGCGCACCCGCGCCCGAGCATGACCACGAGCGTGTACTCGCGCACGAGCCGCGCGTTCCACACCGCGTCTACCTACGGCGAGGAGTCTAGCGACGCCCCGCCCGTCCCTGCGCTGCCGTCGCCTTCAAGGGTGTCGGCGTACGGTGGCTCGCCGAGCACGTATAGCACGTACAGCGGGAACTCGACGTACGCAGTGGCCCACGGGAACGCCGGACAGCAAGACCAGGGGCAGA